TAATAATAACTGGTCTGTTAGGCGTTTATTTTTTAATTAAATCATGGTAGTTACTAGTCAACTTATTAATCAACCAATAATTAATATTTGGCAATGTTATTAAGGAATCAAACTTTGAATTTATAAAATGCCTAAAATTCAGGTTGAGAACATGAAGTTGACAAGGATGATGCATTAAACCTGGAATAATTTTTATGAAACGTTAAGTTACTCTGTTTTTTATTGCAGAACCTGTTTTTACTGCAGTGGTGTCACATAAAACAATGCAAATTTTATTTAATATATTAAATTCTAAAATAACTTAGTGTAACATGTTATACATGAGTTGACAGAGTTGCCTTTCTCTATCATTTTTAAAGATATAATCAAAGATTTAACAATTGAATATAACATATTTCAAGTTCTTTTCCTTTAGGTGGCTTATCTTGCTGATGGGTTGTAATAGAATATGTCACAGTACTACATTGATCTTTGCATAATATATGTAATATATTATATATTAATATATTACATACATTATGTAATAAACTATTATATAATATATTACATATATTATATATATAATATATGTAATATATTATATATATGTAATATATATAATATATGTAATATATTATATATTAATATATTATATATTACATATATATATATATATATATATATATATATATATATATATATATATATATATACATGTATTAATATATATGTAATATATATTAATACATGTATATATATATATATATATATATATATATATATATATATATATATATATATATATGTATGTATGTATGTATGTATGTATGTATGTATGTATGTATGTATGTATGTATGTATGTATGTATGTATGTATGTATATATATATATGTATGTATGTATATATATATATATATATATATATATATATATATATAAATATATATATATATATATATTTATATATATATATATGATGCTAAAATTGTGAAACATGCAAACATGAAAAGTATAAAAGCAATTGTTCAAATTATAGTGTTAAAGTTATTAAGAACGTTAAATTACTATACAAAAAGCTCTAATAAATAACCATTACTCCTAAGTGGGTGAATTTTTTTTTACTTGAAATAATTGTCAAACTATATTAGAACCAAATGTAAAAAAATTCGAAGTAATAAAACGTAAAAAATAAAAAAAAAAGAATTTATTTACATAATTGTATTACAATTGATTTTTAACCATTTCATTAATTCCTCAAAGGTAAAAGCTACATATTTCAGGTTAAAAATCTTTTCCTACTTATAACAACTCTTCATTATTATCCAATATACTAAATATAATATAATAAATTTATAATATAAACAAATTTTATAAATATACTTTTTTAAATGAGCAAAAAATAAAAAACTTTTATTTGTAAAAATAGTAGCTGTTTACATTTTTTTTTTAGGTTTTGTTTATTTGCTTATTTATTACTTACATTGTAATTTTGTTTGTTTGCTTGTATATTACTTACATCGTAATTTTGTTACATGTTGATGATCATATGCAATAAAATAAAAAGCAAATATAATTTTTCAGTGAATTAAAACTTAATCATTCTGCCATCTGTAAAATCTTGTTCAAGTAGGAAAAAATTTGTCAATGACAAGATTTACAAGAATTTAAAAACAACTTGTTAAAAAAAGAACTCTGCTACACCAACATTTTACAACATTGGCTGTAATCATGCGACATAAACCTTTTATGCAAAATAAATGTGGCTTTTTATATTTTTTACATGTAAACAATCACAAATATTATATTACAGATGTGATCAGGTTTACATAGACCAACTATATAATGTGAAAAGTACATAAAATTTTCAAACAACAAATAAAATCATAGGCTAACATTATGTGTTGCCACAGTTTTTCATGTTGTTTATTAAATTGTTTATTAAATTAAATCATTTATTTAACCATGTTAATTTGAAAATTGAAATTTGTATCAAATTGTATCAATATATTAAAAGTATGGCAGAAAAAACAAATAAAGGAAGTGTTGTTTGCATTTAAATTAAAACAACTTTTTTAGTTATTTTGAAACACTATTGAACATGAGAGGTACCATTAAAATTACAAAAAAAGAAAATTAATAACGTAAAAAAGAACATTAACACATACCAAAATAACATATAAAAAACAATAACACATACCAAAATAACACCTGATGCACTCTGAAGATTATTAGACAAAATTGGATCTTCTAAAGTTCAAAAAAAAAAAATAATAAAAAAAAAAAATGTTCTCAGAAAAGATCTAGTAAACCCATAATTAGTTAGTTAGTTAAACACAATGCAACCTTATTGTGTTGCATAGAGTGCCTTAGCGGCACTGTGGTAGTTTTTTTGGAACATGTCCGCCTGGTTCTTGAAGGCATTTAGGCTTTCAGCATTTACAATCTCATCTAGTAAGCGATTCCAGCTGTAGGCAAATTGATTTGTAAAGAAGTTACTTCTAATATTATTGGATCGAACTTTGATAACCATGTATTTATATTATTACAACATATCAATTTACATAAATATATCAATTTACATAAATATATCAATTTACATAAATATACTAATAAATATATTTTATTATATGTCAAATAATATACACATGGTAAACAAGGCATATAACAAGCTGCCTAGGTAGAATCTAGTGGGGGTTTTTAAAATTAAATTTTCTTCACATATAAAATTTCAGGTAAATACTCCAAGAGTAAAATAAAAACACAAGACTTTTTCTCAAGCACCTAGGCTCAAAAAACAAACAAAAGGTTACCACAATCTTATAAGAAAGCAGAAAGTCACCACATGCATGTTAAGAACTTATAATTAAAACAATTAAACAAAACAGATTTAATATAAGATATGTTAGTAATACTAGATTTTATGCTTTTAAATACCCTTAAGGTTACATTTTAGCATATTTAATTTAAAAATCTTATTTTATTACCTTTGTTGAGCTTAACATCATCCCGATTAGCATATTTCAATAAGATCTGAAACAATTTGTAAGAAGATAAACGAACTAGCTCCATGCAGTCTGTGATTCTTCGTAATAAACTACTAAAAAAATTTAAAATTTTTTAAATTAAGAAAGTTACTTTTTAAAATTTTTTCTGCAACATTTGGAGAACAAATGTTGCAGAAAATATGTTGATTATGTTAATTTATTCTAATACCAGATTAAAAGATTTAATACATAAATAATTTTGATAAACATCAATTCACATATAACAAACAAAGTTATATTTTGGACTATATTAAACAAATATTTAAAAGATATTTTTTAGTACAATTAGTTGAATGATATCTTTTGCTTATTAAGAATTAATAATCCTGTATCTTGAATGAAATTACCCTCTTTGAAGCAAAGCATCTCTCTTCAGACTTTGAAAATCTAATACTCTTAACTTATCATCCGTCACTAAATCATAAACAACAAAACAATGTTTACAAAAAATACAAACTTTAAATAATTTTGCGCAAAATTTATTACACAAATATATATATATATATATATATATATATATATATATATATATATATATATATATATATATATATATATATATATATTAGGGATGTGGAGTCCCAAAAAGGACTCCAGATTTGAAAGTCACAAAAAAAAACACCTCTTTCTAGTTTTTGGAATCCAGGAGCTTTAAAAATATAAAAAAGGTTATGGGCTACTAATTGGGATAAAATCAAGACTTATAGGTCAGAAGAACAATCAATTTTTGAACCTGTCCTTTGGTATAATTTTTTTTTTTTTTTAAATTTAATTTAGGTGCCCAAGAAGTCCTTACAGTCTTATCACAGAGCACCGCGATGAGCATTTAATTGGAAGTTCACGCCTTCTTCTGAACCGATGTCGCATGACTTGCCCAGAGGTGGGGTTTGAACCACGGATCCTTTGTTTCTGAGGCAAGTACGCTACCACTGCGCAACGGCTGCTCAAATAATGGTGGCAAGGACTCTGTGACTCCAGGTTTAAAAACAATAAGTTCTAAGTCATTAAACATCATAAATTTTTTTCTTATAACAGATCATTAATCATCAAACATGTTTGGACACCAGAGACTATAAAAAAATAAAGTTATAAAGCTGGAGTGTATATATATATATATATATATATATATATATATATATATATATATATATATATATATATATATATATATATATATATATATATATATATATATATATGTATATATATATATATATTTATATATATATATATATATATCAGGCTTTCCCAGGAAAGTGCGGTCGCACGCCTTGTTTTTCCACGCATAGAATAAATTTTTCAGAATATGTGACCGCGGCAATATATCGTGGGAAAGCGAAACTTATCCACAGAGAATAAAAAATAATATTAAAAAAAGGAAACGAATTCTAAACAAAGTATAAAATTGAAATTGGATGTAAGAAAAATATTTTAATAATAAAAAAAAATTCAATAAAAAAAAATTCTTGTGACAAAAAAAAAAAAGTCTTGAACATTTTTTTCAAAATTTTTATACTGTTTTTTTTTTTTTTTTTTTTTTTTTGGGTTGCTATTTTCAGCTACAAAATTTGATTTTTATACTGTTTTTTTTTTTTTTTTTTTTTTTTGGGTTGCTATTTTCAGCTACAAAATTTGATACAAGTCAAGGAAAAGACGACTATAAGTCATTAAGTTTTCATGAAAATAAAAAGATTTGATACATAATTTATTCACAAACTTTATCAGACAACATAATAAAAAACTGATTCATTATTTTTGCTAGACAAATTTAATTAAATTTTTTCATTTAATTTAGTTTTTACGAAGGTTCATGCAAAGGCGATGACGTTATTCCCCAATACTTAGACAAGAAAATAAATTGCTGTTTTAATTATTAAACATATTATTTGAGATTTTAAACATAACAAAATTTTAATGTGAAAAAAGTTCTCTCGACTTATTCTAAACTGATTATACTGATTATCAATGCTCGCCTTT